AACTGCAAGAACATGGATGATTAAAACCAAAGAACAATAGCCTCCAATGTGCAAAGTCTAATGCAAGAAACACAAGAAAAATGAAAACAAGATGGCATGACTCCTCCAAAAGTCAACAGTTCTACAATTATGGACTCTAATGATAGTGAAGTGGATGAAACAACAAAGAATTTTAAAAAATGATTAGAACAATTATAAACAAATTAAAGAGGTCACAAATAAATACCTGAATGAATTTAATGAAAATACAAATAAACAACTGGATGAAAAAAGATGACAATGAAGACCATTAAAGAGGAATCAGTAAAGATATAGAAATCCTGAAAAACCATTTCATTAAACTGAAATTCTAGAAATGAAAAGCTCAATAAGTAAAATAAGAAACTCAGTTGAGGTCAGATGTGATAGATCTTGCTTATCATCCCACGGTATGTGGGAGACTGAGATTGAGAAGATTACATGTTCAAGGCCCACCCAGGCAAAAAAAAGTCTGCGAGACCTCCTTACTCAGGGAACCCTCCTGTCATTTCAACAATGGTAGGCAGTATAAAATAGGAGAATTGTGGTCCAGGCCAGCCCTGGCAAAAACAGAGGCCTTATCTCAAAAATACCAGTGCAAAAAGGGTTTGAGGAGTAGCTCATATGGTAAAAGCGACTACCTAGCAAGGGCAAACCCCTGAGTTCAAAATCCAGTACCAGGCAGGTGCCCGTGACTGCAATACTAGGCACTTGGGAGGCTAAAATCAGGAGGATCCTGGTTCTAGGCCAACCCCCACAAAAAAAGTTCTTGAAAATCCCCTGTCTTCTTTCTCAATGGGAAAAAGCTGGCTTTGTTGGTCTGTGCCTACCATTCCAGTGACAAAATAGGAATGTTATGGTCCAGGCCAACCTGGGAAAAAAAAAATAACCAAAGTAAAAAGGACTGAAAGCATGGTTGAAATGGTACAGTGCCTACCTAGCAAGTGTGAAGCCCTGAGTTCAAAGCCCAGTACCATACATATATACATACATAAATAAATAAATAAGGAAAAGACCTCACCAATAGACTGGACCACATATAAAAGAGAATACCAAGACTAAAAGATAAGGTAGCTAAATTAGAACATTCAGAGAGTAATGAAGAAAAAAACTAAAAGTATTACTAGAACATACAAGATCTATGGGGGTGCCATTAAAAGACCAAACCTGTGAATCATGGGCAGAGGAGAAGAGGAGGTACAAGCTAAAAGCATAGAAAATATATTCAATAAAATAATAACATAAAGTTTCTTAAATTTTGGGAAAGAGAAGGTTATCCAAGTACAGGAGGTTTTTAGAACACCAAATAGACAGGACCAGAAAAGAACCTTATGTCATATTATAGTAAAACATTAAGTATACCACACAAGGAAGAAATATTGAATGCTACAAGAGAGAATGCTAAATCATATATAAAGGCAAACTAATCAGAATAGCAGCAGATTTCTCAATAGAGATCCTAAAAGCCAGGAGGGCATGGAATGATGTACTTCAAGCTCTGGAAGAAAACAATCCCCAACCTAGATTACTGTATCTCCTTCATAATTGAGTAATAAAAACCTTCTATGATAAACAAAACCTGAAGCCTCTAAGCCAACACTTCAGAAGATACTTACAGGGATCCTACACAGATCCTAAGAGGAAGAAAAAATAACCATGAGAATACAAGAAAGAATAAATCTTACTAGAAAAGTAGACAAGCAAATGAGCATTAGGAAAGAATCAAACACTACAAACAAAAAATTATATGAATTAATAAATATATTTCAATAATTACTCTTTATATAAATGGTCTCAATTCTCCACAGAATTGGAAGACTGGTAGGTTAGATGAAAAAAAAAAAAAGATCTAACTGTTGCCGACAAGAAACACACTTCATTGGCAAATACAAACACAGACTTAAAATGAAAGAATGGAGAAAGTATCCCAAATGGAACCCAAAGAAAGCAGGAGTAGCTATACTCATATATGATAAAGCAGACTTCAAACCAAATTTAGAAGAGATAAGGTCACTTCATATTGATAAAGGGAGCAATCCAATAAGAAAATGTAACAGAATGAAAGCCCAGGATATTATGGCAGAATAGAAGCTTTCTCTGGGTGACTCTACAAACAAGAAGAGTGAGGGAGATCTGCCATATGATCCAGCAATCCCACTCCTAGGGATATACCTAAAGGAAGGCAACATAGGTTACTTCAAAGGCACCTGTACACCCATGTTTATTGCAGTGCTATTCACAATAGCCAAGTTATGAAAACAACCAAGATGCCCCACTACTGACGAATGGATCAAGAAAATGTGGTATTTATACACAATGGAATTTTACTCAGCCATGAACAAGAATGAAATCTTATCATTTGTAAGTAAATGGATGGAATTGGAGAACATCATTCTGAGCAAGATTAGCCAGGCTCAGAAGACCAAAAATCGTATGTTCTCTCTCATATGTGGACCTTACATGTAGGGCAAATACAGCAATGTGGTTGGATTTGGGTCACATAACAAGGAGAAAGCACATACGGGAAGTATGGGGATAGGTAGTAAACCCAAAACATGAAAGCGTTTGATGTCCCCACTCCAGAGGAACTAAACAGAAACCTTAAAGTGACAGAGGTCAACACGAGAAGGGGAGCAGGGACCAGTGTAAAGATCAGTTAGAGATGAATCGACTTGGGTTGTAACACATTTGTACATGAAAGCAATGCTAGGAATGTCTCTGTATAGCTATCCTTATCTCAACTAGCAAAAACGCTTTCTTTCTTATTATGCTTATGTCTTCTCTTCAACAAAATTAGAGATAAGGGCAGAACAGGTTCTTCCTGGAAGCGAGGGGTGGTGGGAAGAGCAGGGTGTGGGTGGGGGGCAGGAGGAAAAAATGACACAAACAATGTATGCACATGTGAATAAATGAATAATAAAAAAAAGAAGAGTGAGGGTAAAAAAGTACAGGCCTTATTCCACAAAGATAGAGCATTAGGAACCACGAAAGAGGTGACAGTTCAGCTGAAAGGCCATAGAGACATAAGTAGGAAACAGCCCACAGCATCAACACTGGCTCTCCATGAGGCAGGAGAAGCTGAAGCCACACCAAGGTAAGACAGGTGGGTAAGACTGACAGTCCTACCCACGGGGCAGGTTGACAGCTCTCTCAAATCTTAAATCCAGTGTGGGGATTTTGTGCAACCATGAAATCTCCTGAATGACAGACCACATTAAGGAAGAACTCCACTTTGTTGTTCCCCATATCTTGGAGAGCCTTAGCTAGGTCATCTTGAGTGATTTGTTATCTAAGACTAAGCTACTCTTGAACCTGAAAACAAGAAATAATAACAACTCAGAAAGTATAGAAACACTTACCCACACAGAGTTTGGGTTGGACACAGCTAGGAGAAGTGGTTATGGGGAGGGGAAGAGTCAGACTCAGACCTATTGAGAAGTCAGGGCAACAGGTAGCTCAGGTTGTGAAGGACAGGGGAGCTGGTGGCTATGCCCTCTGTGGCAAGCAGAACGCCCTGTCCTCTATATGTCACCACAGAGACTATGAGATCTAAGCCTGAATACTTTGAAGCTGCCTCCCTGCTAAGTGTGGTTGCAGCTGGGTAGGTCCCAGAGCTCTGAACCCAGGTCCATGTGCTTACTCTATTTTCCCAACTTCCTCCCTCCTGCAGGGTGATTACTCCTGGATGGGAGCAGAAAGCTCTAAGATCAGCAGGTAGATCAATGTGTGATTCTCCTTCTCCAGGGCAGAACTAAGGGCTCTGTTTGTTCCCTACCCTCTCTCCTATGCACTGGAGGAAACTCGTAGGTTAGGACATTTGTCACCCCCGGGTGCACAAACTGGGAGTTCTGGAGAGAGGGAAGCTGCCCAACTCATAGCTGGCAAAGCTTGCTAGGGCTAACAGGAGCTCCAGGGAAATAGAGAAAGGAAAGACTATGTAAAATTGAAGTTATTAATTCATTCAGCTAAAATAGATTAGGAGTGGTAAGTGCCACAGGAGACATAAAAATAAATTAAGATGGAATAAGGGCAACCTTTTTCCAGGGTCTACCTATTCTCCTATGGTTAAATCCTCCCATTCTTGATTCACATTGTATTCGGGGTTTAATCTTGCCTCTACTCTGTGACTTCAATCAAGTTACCTAACATCTCTCAGTCTCAACTTCCCCAATTGTCAATGTGGGAACAAAAATAATACCTTTTTTGTAATGCTGTTTGTTACTTAAATAAATGAGGCATGTAAATCATTCAGCATGATACCTGATATAGTAACAGCCACTGCATGCTTTTCATTACTATTAGTTCTATCAATCACACGTTCTTCCTGAGTCTTTATACCTATTGCCATTATCTTAATTCAGATACTTATTTTACTAATTAAATTTTAAAAACTTTAACTACAAACTTATTCAAGCAGAATAACAAACTGTCCCCAATACAAGATGTACAATTCCCTGCCTTTGTACCTTTGATTATACTCATTCCTTTGACCAGTATTCTCCCCATGTCATCAATGTAGGTAAAAATTCAATCCATCTTTCATAATGCAGCAAAAACACCTCCACAAAGCCTTCCCTGCAATCTCACAAGAAATAATGTCTGAGTTTCCAATGAACTTATGGCACTCATTCTTTCCCCTCCAAAGCCATGCTTACCCTAAATAGCAATATTTTTTCTACATTCAAATTTTCTTAGTTCCCAGTGAGACATATGCTACAAAAAAAGTGATGGAGCACATAAAAACTTTGTACTGTTCCCCCAGAAAATAAGTACCTCCTAAGTCAATGAATATCACTTTGTCATTCTGACTGAAGAACAAATCACAGACTGCTCCAAAATATTCTAAACATGTCATAACACTTAATTGGATCACTGAAAAATCTCTACATTATGAAAACACAACATAGGAACAGAAAATTAGAAGCTGAACCAGGCTCAAACATAATATTTTAAGAATGAAAAAGATTATGCAATTTCTTTACTTTTCTTTTCTACTGCCCAGTTGGCGAGCTGTATACTGATCCCCATAGTCAACCAACATTAATTGTCGAGAAAACACATTCACTTTGTTGCCTATATATAAATCTTCCAGGTGCAGGTCATCATATTTGGTTCGCTTTAAAAAGGTGCGACGATTCTTTACATCATGCTAGAATCAAAAAAATAAAAATAGAAAAAATACTTATGAGTAAAGAATGTTAACCTTATTATAGTTCTTATAACCTTAAATAGTTTTAATTTTGGCTTACTAAAGTAGATTGCATTGTTTTTTTTTGTAAACACAAATAATATTTTTCATATTGTAAATTCTTTATCTCCTAATCCAATCCAGTTGTAACATAAAATATTCTTAAAATATAATACTTTAAATTACCCTGAATAGAGAGATTTGTTTACGGCCAAATTATTTCAGCAAATTAGTGCCTATGAAATTCCAGAACGAAACAGTTATATGACCAAATTTCTGCTTTTTTGCATATACATTTTAATTCCAAATAGAACCACTTATTAAAGTAGTTACTAATGAAGAGACACAAGGAATGGGGCCTTCTCAGCTCAGTCCTCTTCAATTTGACTTTTTATAGAGAAAGCAGCTTTCAATAATGTTGATATACATGGTCATGATAACCTTTATCCATTGCCACTTATCAATTATTGCTTAATCAAAACATGAAAAATCCCACTTTAATTTTTGTTTTTGTTTTCTTTTCTTTTTTGAGACAGAATCTCACTACGTAGCCCACTCTGGACTCAAGATCCACCCACATCTGCCTCCCAAGTGCTAGGATTACAGGCATTTAGCACTATGCGCTGACCTACTTCAGTTTCCTAACCAAATACATTCCAAGTTTTGACATTAAAATACCCAGGCACAAGCCAGGCATGGTGACACATGCCTATAATCCCAGCATTCAGGAGGCTGAGGCAGAATTGCAAGTTTGAGGACAGGCTGGGCTATATAATGAGACTCTCTTAAAACAAATACAGACACAAAACTATCTTCTTGCATCAGAATTACAATGAATACCCTCCAAACTCCAATAAAATAAAAACATATAAATTTCTTTTAAAAGCAACCATATAAAAGGCAATTCTATTCCTCTCCCTTTCCCTACTTCACTTACTTTTCCAACTTTAAGTAAAGAAAGACTCATTTACCATCTCAACAGATCCATCCCCTGGGTAAAAGAAAAGCTCATAACGCCGAAGAAGTGAAGCATTTGGATCATACCACTCTGCAATGAAAGCGAATCTCTCACTCTGACTCTGTGACAAAAAAAGAAAAGAATTTTAACACTAACATATAAAATATAAACACCCTTGTATAAGTTTGGCAAAATGAACATGAGAATTTCCAAGTATTTGCAACAAATTCCAACTACTTATTATATTGAATCTTTCTGCTAATTTCTCTTAGATATTTCAAAGATGAGTTATAAACTGTTTAATGTTTCCTAGCCTTCCAATAATCCTAGTTCAATTAACATTTTTTTAGAAAATGAGTTCCTGATCTGACTACTATATAACAATTCAAAGTCTTTCTGAAGGCAAATTTACATATAGACTATTAATAAACTATTATGAGAAATACTTTCTTTTTTTTTTCATTTTTCTTTTATTATTCATATGTGCGTACAAGGCTTGGTTCATTTCTCCCCCCTGCCCCCACCCCCTCCCTTACCACCCACTCCACCCCCTCCCCTCCCCCCCTCAATACCCAGCAGAAACTATTTTGCCCTTATCTCTAATTTTGTTGTAGAGAGAGTATAAGCAATAATAGGAAGGAACAAGGGGTTTTGCTGGTTGAGATAAGGATAGCTATACAGGGCATTGACTCACATTGATTTCCTGTGCGTGGGTGTTACCTTCTAGGTTAATTCTTTTTGATCTAACCTTTTCTCTAGTTCCTGGTCCCCTTTTCCTATTGGCCTCAGTTGCTTTAAGGTATCTGCTTTAGTTTCTCTGCATTAAGGGCAACAAATGCTAGCTAGTTTTTTAGGTGTCTTACCTATCCTCACCCTCCCTTGTGTGCTCTCGCTTTTATCATGTGCTCATAGTCCAATCCCCTTGTTTGTTTGCCCTTGATCTAATGTCCACATATGAGGGAGAACATACGATTTTTGGTCTTTTGGGCCAGGCTAACCTCACTCAGAATGATGTTCTCCAATTCCATCCATTTACCAGCGAATGATAACATTTCGTTCTTCTTCATGGCTGCATAAAATTCCATTGTGTATAGATACCACATTTTCTTAATCCATTCGTCAGTGCTGGGGCATCTTGGCTGTTTCCATAACTTGGCTATTGTGAATAGTGCCGCAATAAACATGGGTGTGCAGGTGCCTCTGGAGTAACAGTCTTTTGGGTATATCCCCAAGAGTGGTATTGCTGGATCAAATGGTAGATCAATGTTTAGCTTTTTAAGTAGCCTCCAAATTTTTTTCCAGAGTTGTTGTACTAGTCTACATTCCCACCAACAGTGTAAGAGGGTTCCTTTTTCCCCGCATCCTCGCCAACACCTGTTGTTGGTGGTGTTGCTGATGATGGCTATTCTAACAGGGGTGAGGTGGAATCTTAGTGTGGTTTTAATTTGCATTTCCTTTATTGCTAGAGATGGTGAGCATTTTTTCATGTGTTTTCTGGCCATTTGAATTTCTTCTTTTGAGAAAGTTCTGTTTAGTTCACTTGCCCATTTCTTTATTGGTTCATTAGTTTTGGGAGAATTTAGTTTTTTAAGTTCCCTGTATATTCTGATTATCAGTCCTTTGTCTGATGTATAGTTGGCAAATATTTTCTCCCACTCTGTGGGTGTTCTCTTCAGTTTAGAGACCATTTCTTTTGATGAACAGAAGCTTTTTAGTTTTATGAGGTCCCATTTATCTATGCTATCTCTTAGTTGCTGTGCTGCTGGGGTTTCATTGAGAAAGTTCTTACCTATACCTACTAACTCCAGAGTATTTCCTACTCTTTCTTGTATCAACTTAAGAGTTTGGGGTCTGATATTAAGATCCTTGATCCATTTTGAGTTAATCTTGGTATAGGGTGATATAATGGATCTAGTTTCAGTTTTTTGCAGACTGCTAACCAGTTTTCCCAGCAGTTTTTGTTGAAGAGGCTGCTATTTCTCCATCGTATATTTTTAGCTCCTTTGTCAAAGGTAAGTTGCTCATAGTTGTGTGGCTTCATATCTGGGTCCTCTATTCTGTTCCACTGGTCTTCATGTCTGTTTTTGTGCCAGTACCATGCTGAGAGACTAAATGGCAGGAAGTTTTAACTATCTTAAACTTAAGACTTCAGCAATAGGATATTTGGTTGTTATTCCACTTACGTAAACAGATTTCTTCTCTTAGTCATCTCAGACATATCTTGTTTTAAGAAAGAGTAAAAGAGAATGTAGTAGTCCCAGGATCTCTGAGAAACAGAAGCCATGACAGGTTTGAACATGCAAAGAATTGTATGAAGGGAAATTGCTGTAAGGGGAAAAGGGAGGAGTCAGGGAAGACTGGGAGAGTTGACAGACCACATGCAAATATGACTCGAGGTGGAGGAGGACTGCAAGGAAGATTTAGAAGGGACGGTCCTGATTGCTACTATGCTTCTAAGGAAGCCCATGGGGAATGTTCACTTCAGCCAGTGAGCAATCTGAGGGAGTCCCCACCCAGGGAGGAGTTCACCTTCAGTATCTCTACTCCTTCATATTACTGGTTGGGAACAGGTCCAAGGCTCAAGACAGCCTTGGATTTCAGACCACAACAACTGGGTCCCTCGGTCATTTAAGCTTTCTGCAGTTGGAGGTCTCGGAAGTGCATTCTTAAGACTATCACAGAGAATAAACTGGTGGGGAAAAAATCAAGGATTGGGTCCTTTTCTCTGCTTAATGCAGGATTGCTCATCATTTATGTTAATAAAAAAATTCCAGCTCCAAAGGTCCTTTATTACAAGCAAATAAAGTCATAAAGAAGAAGGGAATCTAGGAGTTTTGTTGCTAAATTCTGGTTTTGCCACCTGATGTTTTGGTTTTTTCTATTAATAATTGACTTACAAATTGTAATGTCTGTTTATGTTTATGACTATGTTCATAAACTATGAATGTATATGAGCAGTTTTAAGACACATTTTTATTTTTCCTACAACATCCCAAAAGACACATTTAAGCAATGTTTATTAGTAAAAAGGAAAAACAGGTGTAAAAATAAAGACTGCTATGAATTTGTAAAAGTTATTTTCTTCATACATTTTTTTCATATCGATTCTAACAATGGTAGTTTTTTGTTGAGTATACGGTTTCACTAAACATTCTATCTTATACAACCGCCTGTAATTAAAAATAGAAATATTAGGTGTTCTTATTTTTTTTCTATTCTATAATTAGTCCACGCCAACCATAATTTAAGTATTACCTTCCACTAAAATAAAGTAAAATTATAATATGTACAAAATGATAATGCCTTTGACTAAAGCGAATGAAAAGCCAATGAACCCTGGTACTTCCATTATCCAAGTAGCCTAACCACCCAAACTTGCAATCACACTCTAACAATTCTAAGTTAGGTGGCAGAATTTTGCACAACATAACTATCCAGAAAACATTTATTTGTTAATACAAAGAAAATAAACTCTTCTGGCTATGACAAAGTACTATTATAGCAAGTCAATGCTGACTTCTAAGAATAATTAGAAAAGTAGGATATTAAAAGCATTGGAGCCTCCAAGATAATCAGAATATGAGCCTCCAAGAGATCTAGATAGAAAGTTGGAGGTGAGTTCAACTTTCCCTGTTGCTTTAACCTTGAGGATACATGCAAATCTCAAATAAGCTGGGCAAGAGAACTAAGAAGTCTAAGAAGTTGGCAGACAGAGCCTACCAAGAGGTAATAAACCCAGGAGAACTCATAGCAATCTCAATGGGGTTTTTGGCAGCTACACAGTGCTGGGGACAGAAAAAAATGAGAGTTAAAACTCAGCACAGAGGAGACACCCACTAAGCATTCTAACTTTCTGTTTTGTGATGTAAAAATGTTACACCTCTAGGCCGGCTAAGTAGAAATAAAGGTAAGCTAACCCTTACAAAGTCTCAACAAGTTCTGGTTCATTCACTGCTTAGTCCTTTATCACATTGAGGCAATATTTTCCCCATTCTACTCTCTGCATCTCTGAAAATTACAACTTTTCACACCCAAGTCCACCATTCAATGACAACTACCAGATACCTCACTCCAAAAAATACCAAGAAGAGGAAAGTGGCAAAAGAATGAGACATGTCAATAACCTAGTTATACCAAAAAAAAAAAAAAAAAAAGCTTCCAAAATAACGATAGGTGTAAGAAACATGTCAGAATGGAGAATTTCCCCAAAACTCCTCAGCCATAAGGAAAAATGAAAACCAACCGATTTGAAGGTAAATGGATACAATTTGAAGACACCATGTTAAGTGAAGTTAAGTCAGGTTCAGAAAGTAAAGCTGTATGTTTTCTCTCATATGTAGAAGAAGATCCAAAAAGATAAACATAATCACAAAACAAACATAATTATATACAAACATATATGTAGAACTTGTTTGTAATGGTGAATACACTGTGGAACTCAGGAAGAAGGAAAACAAAGGAATGATAGTGTATAAACAATATCATATAATAACATCTTGAAGTAAAGGATCTAAGGATATTTATTGAAAGCTGTTGAAAAATGGGTGGGTGGGGGTTGAGGGAAGGTGTAAGGGAGAGCAATGGAAGGTGCTGAAACTGACCAAAGTAAAGTATGCTCACAGCATGGATACATTGGAAAACCCCTTTGAATTAACTTAAAATTAATAATGAAAGACAAGACTGCAAATAGGTACAAGTGTTGAGGGAAGTGAGGGGGGAGAGTGAATGAAGGGTTAAGGTGAAGGAATTTGGCTGATGGACTTCATATACTTATACATATACTTATACCAAAAATAGAACAATGAAACCTCTTGCAATGCTTTAAGTGAGGCAGAAGGGGTTGAGGAGGAGAGACAGTGGGGAAGCATCTAGCCAATGTACAATGTAAATCTATTTGGAAGTGTCACAATGAATCCCCCTGTACAACAAATATAACCTAATAAAATTTATCAGCATATAATCATTGTACAGGGAAAACATTGTGATATTTATCTATGTGCTTATGATACATCTCAGATTACCCCTTCTATCAATTCCCCTCTTCCCTTCTCCCCACCTTAGAACAATTTCAACAGCTTTTATTCTTTAATTTTCATATATGAATGCAATATACATCCACCA